AACCCCCCCGCACATCGCATCCCCCCAGCACATCCCCCCCGATGAGCTGACTAGTGCAGCAGGGTCCCGTGCTCACATTTCTGGCTCTGGGACCCCTTGTGCTGTTGACACCCCCCAGCTCTCCCAGGGGCGTTCATTGGGTGGGACACAGTTAGGACCGTGGGAAGCACCGTGCCACCATCGCCATGCCACCGGGGTTTGTGTTCGTCTCTCTGGTGAAATTTTCTGGGATGAGCTGACCAACTCCCCTCCTCCTCCTAACCCCCCCTCAGTGAGCAATGGGGGGCCATCCACCCTCAGCACCTGCCGCTGGCACCCCCAGCATGTGCCTGGCAGGGCTGCCGGGTACTGGGCACCGGCGTCCAGGTGTGTACCCAGGCAGTGTACGGGGACAGACATTGGGGCACACGCTGGGCGAGGGGGCACCCAGGGCAGGACCAGGCCCCGCTGCTTACGTCATTGTAGGGATGCTGCTTCTTGTCAGGGGCGCTGAAGCGCCCGTAGGTGTGGTAGTTGGGGTACTCGCTCCTGGGCTGGTACGAGGTATGTGAGCTGAGCAGATCCAGCTTCCCGCGGTTCCTCCTGCGGCACGAGCAGATGATCTGAAGGGGCGAGAGGAGGCTGGTGAGTGGGGGCGGGGCACAGAGGGGATGGTGGGGTCAGGCAGGGAGCAGAGAGGCTGGAGGGGGCCTGAGGCCGGAGGGATGGGCAGCGGGGGGCACTCACCAGCAGGATGAAGATGACGATGCTCAGCACCAGCCCAATGCAGACCAGGACCAGCAGGGCGATGCCCCAGCCAGGCACCAGGGGGGCTGGCGCCGAGGTGGCCAGGGGAGAGCTGCCAGAGTTGGCTGAAACACAAGAAGGAGCAGTCAGGGGCTGGGGAGGACCCGGAGGGAAGGGATCCTAGGAGAGGGGCCCAGGCCAGGGGACGCAGCTGGCCAGGCAGAAGGGCCAGGGACAGTCAGAGGCTGTCGGAAAGGGGCTGGCCATGGGCTGAGCCCCCAGCACAGGGGCCCCGGGACACGTGGCTGCGGAGACACTGTGGGGCCCGGCCGGAGCCTGCTCACCGCGGATACTGTCCAGCTGAAGCCCATCAAAGCTATTCTGGCTGTCCAGCCTTTGTGTCAGCTGCTGCTCAATGCCGGTGGCGCTGATGCTGGTGTCGCTCACTCGGTACCGCAGGATGGACTCAGTCACCACCGAGCCCTGGCTGCAAAGTGTGCAGGAGAGGGGGC